TAAGACCTTGGATCTACCCCTCTCTAAATCCTTGGATGTGCCCCTCTAAATCCTTGGATCTGCCCCTCTTTAAAGCTTAACTTGCCACTCTCCTGGTCTTACTCTCTCTGGAGCTGGTCTTTTCCTGGTCCTTCCTCTTTCTGGAAAGGCAAATGTGGGATGGAATAAACAGGGATGATGCAGAGGGGGAAGGCAAAGCTGTAAACTGCTCTGAGTAATCGCCGCTCTAAAAATACTGAGGTAATATGATGTCTGAGATTTAAATTTAGATGGAGACATCTGAAGACCAAAAAAAACCCCTCAACACCTCGTTGGTTTGGGAGGAGGGAGGCGGGTTTGGGTGTGAATGTCCAGTTTGTGGGCAGTGCTGTGGTCAGGGCTTGGTGCCAGCAGGAGCCCACACGTGAGCTGGCACACGGTGAGATTGTTGGGGTTGTCCTGTGCAGGGCAGGAGTTAGACTGATGATCCTTGTGTGTCCCTTCCAGCTCAGGATGTTCCATGATTCCATGACCTCAAGTTGAGCTGGCGCCTCGGTGCTGTCCCAACACTGCTGTCAGCCCTTCCCTCCTCATCCTCCTCACCCTTTCTCCCACAGGAGATTTTGTCATCCTGCTCAACGCTGGGATGACCATCCGCCAAGCTCTCTTCTTCAACTTCATCTCTGCCTGCTGCTGCTACGTGGGCTTGGCCTTCGGCGTCGTGGCCGGGAGCCACTTCTCTGCCAACTGGATCTTCGCTCTGGCTGGAGGGATGTTCCTGTACATAGCACTGGCTGACATGGTAAATCCTGACCCTGGCTGCACAGCTGGGACCTTCCCAGGTTTTGGGGTTTTTTTCCCCTCAGTGGGGAGGTGATGCAGGCACGGAGAGCACAGTGTGGGGTTTGCTCTGTCGTCTCGTGTAGATATCAGTGTCTCTCTCACTCCATGAGGTGATGGGCGGGGGATGTTTGGTGGGGAGGGATGGATCCAGTCCTGTGGCTGAGCCTGCCATCCCTCTCTTTCCCCCCCAGTTCCCCGAGATGAACGAGGTGAGCCGTGAGGACGAGCAGAACGGCAGCGCGCTCATCGCCTTCGCCATCCAGAACGCAGGGCTGCTGACAGGCTTCACCATCATGGTGCTGCTCACCATGTACTCTGGCCAGATCCAGATAGGGTAGGATCAGCCCTGATCCAGTTTTTTCCCTTTTTTTTTCTTTTTTTTTGGGGGGGGAAAGGGTTTTTTCCTTGTTTTTTTCTTTCCTTTTCCTGCTGCATACGACGGTACCTGTGCGGGCACTGACGTCACACTACAGAGAGACATTGCTTTGAAAGCTGTTCCACAGACTTCATTTTGGTTTAAGGCTGAGGGGAGCTGAACCCCTTTCCCATAAGACTGACCTGACCAGAGGAACTTTTCCCAGTGTCATATCCCTTCTCTCCTCGCCTCTCCCAGGAAGGATGGAGTGGGAGACAGGAGCTGCTGTAGCTGTGGTGCTCCCCTCGTTGTGTGAGGGACATGATGCTGTCCTGACCTCTTTGAGGGGTGTGTGATGGGGGGACAGATGGGGACAGACCCTTCTCGGAGCATTCCCCAGCAGCAAACCCTAGAGCTGTGCTCTCCAAGCACTGCCCAGGATGAGGAGGCTCATGATGTCACACCACCACCTTTGCTGTCTCCAGAAATGTGTTGCACTTCCATGACTGGACAATTCCCTGGGAAGAGCAGGGTGAAGAGGGTTGGGTTGTTAAAGCACATTTTGGGTGTCAATGCTCAGAGAAGAGGACACCAAACCAGGTCACAGTGACATTTGGGCTGCTGGGAGAGGCTGGGCAGGATGTCCTGACCCCCCTCGGTCCATGTGGGGGGCAAACCACAACTCCTCCTCTGTGAGGGCAGATGCTGGGGAGAAGGAGATGACAGCAGAGCCCTCCCAGCCCAGGGATGTCTCCTCAGGCTGTGACCAAGCTCATGGTGCCACCAGGGAACAGCCACTGGTTTTTAAACCCTGCTGAGGTTCAGGGTGGGATTGGGGGTGTTTCAAAAACAACCAAGACTGTGAACCTCTTTAGGTTGTGTGTTTCCAGCCTCAGGGAGTAGCCAGAGAAGGATGTTCCAGGCACTTCCCAGCTCTGCCTCTGGGCTGGCTTTCCCCAGATTCACTAGGTGAATTGACTAATTATCATATTGATAATGTTCCCACCCCACCCGTGTTGCCTGAGGTTCCCTCACACCCCCTTTTCCCACCCAGGCCTCATCCTGTACCTGGTGTGGAGAGCTTGTTGCCATGTGGATAATCAGGAGCTGATTCAGGCAGCTTCCCTCATGGATTTGGTGCTGGATTGGGATGGAGGAGAGGTGCAGGTGGATTTGAGAAGTGTATGTGCCAGGTGGTTTGTCATTGAGTGTCCTCCTTCACTCCCTACCTGTGCAGGTGTGTGAGTGACAAGGTGATGGTCATCCTGCCACCTTGGCATGGTGCTGGAGCTGAGGCTCCCACACCTTCCCTTCTGCCCCTGTGGAAAGCAAAGCCAAGGTTGTGCCAGGTATTCTTCCTGCCCATAGTGGGAAGAGAGGGACCTCAGCCCCTGGCACAGGCTCAGCCCCATCCTGCAGTGCTGTACCCTGCTTGGATGGCTGTAGCTCCTGAATTCCCTTTGTTCCCAGCTGGATGATATTCCTCCTAAGCTCCTAAGAGTTGTCACCAAGTCCCTGGGCTCTGGCACTACCAGTATCCTCATGGATTGGCACCTCTGCTCTCAGTGGCTTTTTTAGGCTGGACATTGTCCCCTCAGCACACCAAGCTGTTGGCTTTGTCCTGCACCCCAAAGGTTAAATGAGGAGCAGGGAGGTTTTTTGGGATCACCCAGAGGTACCACATGGTCCTTAGGTGATGCCTCCAAGGACAGAGAGTGATGTCTGTCCTGTGTGATATGGATTGTCACTTTTCCCCCTGTGGGACAGAGCAGCATGGTCAGAGCACCCAGTCAGCTGTGCAGCCCCTCATGGTCATCACCCATGCTGCTAATCCCGGGAGGAAAGTGGCACTGGAAACTCCTTTTCCCTGCTTGAGAGAGCTGCAGCCACAGCTGATTGACTCGATGTGGAGCTGGACATTGTCCTTGTCCCCTCAGCACCCCAACCTGTTGGCTTTGTCCTGCACCCCAAAGGTTAAATATCAACCTGTTGAGGAGTAGGGAAGTTTTTTGGGATCACCCAGAGGTACCACATGGTCCTTGGGTGATGCCTCCAAGGACAGACAGGCTCTGCTTTGTCACATGTGCTCCTTGTTGGTGTGGATTGTCACCTTAAGTCACTTTTCCCCCTGTGGGACAGAGCAGCATGGTCAGAGCACTCAGTCAGCTGTGCAGCCTCTCATGGTCATCACCCATGCTGCTAATCCCGGGAGGAAAGTGGCACTGGAAACTCCTTTTCCCTGCTTGAGAGAGCTGCAGCCACAGCTGATTGACTCGATGTGGAGCTGGACATTGTCCTTGTCCCCTCAGCACCCCAACCTGTTGGCTTTGTCCTGCACCCCAAAGGTTAAATATCAACCTGTTGAGGAGTAGGGAAGTTTTTTGGGATCACCCAGAGGTACCACATGGTCCTTGGGTGATGCCTCCAAGGACAGACAGGCTCTGCTTTGTCACATGTGCTCCTTGTTGGTGTGGATTGTCACCTTAAGTCACTTTTCCCCCTGTGGGACAGAGCAGCATGGTCAGAGCACTCAGTCAGCTGTGCAGCCTCTCATGGTCATCACCCATGCTGCTAATCCCGGGAGGAAAGTGGCACTGGAAACTCCTTTTCCCTGCTTGAGAGAGCTGCAGCCACGGCTGGCCGACTCGATGTGGAAAAACTGAGTCCCTCAACCAGCACATGTGCCCTCTCCTCTCTCTCTCTCTCTCAAGGAAGCATTTGGAAAACACCATGTGGCTGGCAGGTTTCCATGGAGCACCGGAGCACTGCCAGGGCTGTGTCCTGCCTGGCAGGTGCACACTGATGGAACAGCCTCTGTGCTGGAGGACAAGGGGGAAATCATGGTGTTTGTCCCCTGTGGGATGTCCCTAAGAGCTGGAAACATGGCAAGGAGCAATTTTGGCTTCCTTGGATCCAGTACAACCCCTCGGCACAGTGTGGGGATCATGAGTGTGTTGTCTTCTTGTTTGAAGTTTCACCTCTTTCTTGTGCAATCTGCAACCCACAGATTTGGGGTGTGATGGAACAGCCTCTGTGCTGAAGCAGAGGGAGGAATCAGGATGTTTGTCCCCTGTGGGCTTTGCCAGGGTGTTCCCTAAAACTAGAAACAGGACAAGGAGCAATCTTGGCTTCCTTGGATCTGGTGCAACCCTTTAGCACTTGGGATTGTGAGTGTGTTGTCTTCTTGTCTGGAGTTTAACCTCTTGAGCAACCTGCAACCCACAGATTTGGGGTGTGATGGCAAAACCTCTGTGTGGAGGGGAGAATCAGGGCCTTTATCCCCTGGGCTGTGCCTGGAAGGTCACTAAGAGCTGGAAACATGACAAGGAGCAATCTTGGCTTCCTTGGATCCGGTACAACCCTTTAGTGTTCGGGATTATGAGTGTGCTGTCTTCTTGTTTGGAGTTTAACCTCTTGAGCAACCTGCACCCCACAGATTTGGGGTGTGAGGGGTGAACCTCCCCAAGAAACAAGGCCCTCCCTCCACTGAGAAGAGCTCCTGCCCCTGGCTGGCCAGGCTGGCACCTGCCATCGGGGAAGGGATGGGGCAGGTGGGAGGATGAGGTAGGGAACCCCCACCCAAATCGAGCTCCTTAGGAATTTTCATCCGTGTTCCCTTTCCCACACCCAATTGGAAGCTCAAGTTCCATCTCAGTATTTCAATAACTCAGGTGTCGTAGGAGAGAACGAGTTCAACCCAAGGACGTAACTTATGTCACGTGAATTGTACAGTTCTTTGTAAAATTCCATGAATAAAGTATATTCTGTAATGATGGAGGAGCCTGAGGCTGTTCCGGCCGGGAATCCTCCCCATGGCCTGAGCCTGGTGTGGGGAGAAGGAGTGGGAGAGCTGCTGGGTCGGGATTTATCCGAGGGGAAGCGACTGAGCCGTGCTGGGTGATGCAATCCCGGTTTTCCAGCTGGATTCCCGTGGCTGTGCAGTGCGGCTCAGCTGACAGGAGATGGCACTGACATCCCCCTGAGCCTGGCCGCGTGGCATGGCCTTTCCCACACCAAAAAAAACACCCCACAACCCTTTTAATGACATAGAATTACATTTTGTATGTATTTTTTATACATTTGAAATGTTTTTCCAAGCAGGGCTTGGCTGGGATGAGGCTGAGGTGTGGGATGGTAGATTCCTCCCCAGTCTATCCTTGTTTCCTCACCCTCCATTAAGGGAGAAAAAAAAATCTAACTTTGCTTTTTGCATCCCTTTTTTTTTTTGGTCTTTTTTCTCCCCCTTTGCAATTTTTAGTAACCCCACGGAAGCTGAAGGAAATAAATCTGGAAATTCTGGGGTGTTTTGTAGAAAATAGAAGTTATATTAAGGGAGGAAGGTCACACTGTGTGTCTGACACAACCGTGTGCAGCCACAGCTCCTCTGGACAACCTGTGCCAGTGCCTCAGCACCCTCACAGGGAGGAATTCCTTCCCCATATCCCATCTAAACCTTCCCTCCTGCAGCTCACAGCAGTGGGAAGAGACCATCAGCTATTATTCCTTCCCCTAAAACATTTTATGTCTAAGAGCTGTGGCTGCTCCATCCCTGGGAGTGTTCCAGGCCAGGTTGGATGGGGCTTGGAGCAACCTGGGCTGGTCGATGATGGGCAGGGGGTGTTAAGGTCCTTCACACCCAAGCCATTCCATGATTCTCTGTCCTATTTTCTCACTTCTATGTGGATGCTGGAACAGCCCTGGATGCTGGGAATTTGTGATTCTCTGCCCTATTTTCCCACCTCTCTGTGGAATCTGGAACAGCCCTGGATGCTGGGAATTTGCTGGGCAGTAGGGACAGGAGTGTTCAGCCTGAAGATGAGAAGCTCCAGGGCAACTTTAGAGCCCCTTCCAGTGCCTGAAAGGATCCTATAGGAAAGATGGAGAGAGACTATTTCCAAGAGCCTGGAGCTCCAGAACAAGGGGGGAACATCCACACTGCCTTGGCTGAGGTGTGATATGGATCAGACACTCCTTCCTGCAAGG